GCTAGCAGATGGTATAGCAGTTATGTCATTGGACTCCCACTTGGCTGACCGCAGTTCAAGTCTTGAATCCGGTGGCTTGAAACTCACGCTGGCTTCCCTCTCTCTGTCTCTGTCTCTGTCTCTCTCATGCACTAGTGCATGAGCCGTAAGGCAAAAACCACCACCAAAAAGAAAGAGAGAGGGAGAGAAATGTAGTGCATGCCAAGTTTGTGAGTTTGTGGTGATGTGCTATGCAGCAATACATAATTGATGCATGAACCCTCATTTCTGATGGAGGCTGAGAGGTCACTCTTAGCTGGAAAACTCTGCCATCACCAACCAAACTGGGGTTCTGTATAAAAGGAGAATAGATATTGCTGGGAAAGTCACAGTTGTCTCACAGAAGCCACTGGGATATTCCAAGAAGAAGGAGCTGGTGTCCTGGACTCAGGCAGTGGCAGCAGAAAACGAGTGTCATCAGTGGATTCCTGCTTCATGAAGTAGCAGCAGCCTTGTTTCTTACAGAATTGGCTTCCTGGACTGGCTCTGAGGCTCATGGGTAATGTACTACTCAAGAGAAGAGAGATCCCACGTGGTGACCGCAGTTCAAACCCCTGCCTGGTCACCTGAGACATGCCAGACATGCAAGCAAGTGCCCAAGATCTGACGGGCTAGGGAACTGGGAGGAGGGAGTCAGAGAATGAGTAGGCCCAGTGGAGGTGCTTGCCTCTCTCTCCCCCCCCACATGCACATACACATGCTCTGTCATGAGTAAAATAAAACTGAAAAAGACCTGGCTTCCTTTCACTCAGTAACAATCTCGTATTACCAGTCTGCAAGGTCTCCTTAGCCCCTCTCCAACGTGACCTGGTTCCTATAGAGAGTTCCAGAACAGGAGCTCAAATCAGAAACACGAACGCAAGGCACGGCAGGAAAAACGGATACCACGAAAGCCATGGGCTGGTTCAACATCACAAATTTCCTCTCCTTCCACCTTATTAATCTCGTTTCTCGTAGGATCTGGTAGGAAAGCAAAATCTCTTTCCGAGGGAGTTTAGCATGTCTTTGATTCCAGATGCAGAAATAAAATGTATCCTTTAAAGTGTCTGCAGAAATGAAAAGAAACCAGATTCCTATATAAAGGTTTTAATATAAACGGTGCAGATTTGGGGGCCTAGACATGAACTTTATGGTTAGAAATTCAGCTAGCCCAACCCTTGGAGCCTTCACTTGGGGAGTTTGGAAAATGCATAATTTTAAAGGAGGCTGAATTTATGAGCATTGTAGTTATAGCAACAGACACTTCAGATTCTGGGAGGCAGGGCCATGAGACTGTTACGTAACAGTTAACTTCATGTTAAAAAAAAAACCAAATGCAGGGAACACCAAGGCTGCTGAAAAATATATAATAGGACCAAAAGAAAAGGGAGATGGCAGGAAAGAGGGAGAAAAATAGAGGTCGCGAAAGCTTTTTCAGAGGAGAACATGATGAATCTCTTCGTGAAGGAGCAGGAGCTTCGTTCTATAGAGGTCGCGAAAGCTTTTTCAGAGGAGATGATGAATCTCTTCGTGAAGGAGCAGGGGTTTCGTTCTGCAGGCTCGCTGCTGCCGGCTCAGGCTCAGGCATGTGGGAAGGAGCTCGTCAGACAAAAGAGAAGGCACCAACGCGGACGGGGCTTGCGGGGGTCTGCCAAGTTGAGGATGAGGAAACACGTGGGTTGTGGAGGGAGGAGCTGCCCTCTGAGGGAACCCTACATCTGGGGAAGGCTGAAGTGAGGGCACTGGCCAGGCTTCAGGAGCTCTGGACCATGCAGTGCTGCCTCTGAGTTCCCTGACTCCAAGGCAGCCCCTACCATTCACGTGAACTTCTTCCTTAGGGGGAAGTGAAGTCAGAGAGTCACCTTCCCCAAATTCAGAAACCATGCTTCCCACCTCTCCAAACGGGCACAAGACCAGAATCCCAAGATGTGGTTCCCATGGGTTGAGAAGCCCTCTGAAGCAGGTCAGAAAGGTTCTGCCCTGGCCTAGAGCTTCTGAGAGAATCTGCAGCTCTCCCCTGGCTGGGTGCTTCCCCGCAGCGGGAGGGGCAGGAGCTTAGGGAGTCCATGGGACCCAGGGATGTGGTTACCTAGACCTCATGCTCTCTAGACCTTATTCTGCGGACATGGAATCCCTAATTCCCTGCCTGCGTTACTTTGAACCTGTTTTCAGGATATGCGTGGGCTTTCCCCCCTCCTTCTTCCTTGGGAGACCAAACCTGCCCACCTGTGTCAAACCCAAGTCTGAGTGAACCGGGGGCAGCAGTGGCAGGAAGGTGAATGATGCAGGGGCATGCAGGCTGGAGTGTCCACAGCAAGTGGGCAAGGCTCTCCCGGTACAGAAAGAGGCCAGATATGGAACAGAAGGGACGTGAGCGGAGGGCAGGGGCTGGCTCTCCCTCCGGAGTACTACCTTCTGGTATGCAATGTCTGGGAGCCTGAGAAATCTGAAGACGACCCCGGGATTGCAGGATGTTAGGGCTACAGCTGTCGAAGCTGGAGGGTATGACACATCTGACATGACGTCTTGTTAGGGTGGCTGGTCATTCTGACACACACGGACGTGGCGGACGCAGGCCTCTACTCATGCTCTAGTACGAGGGACCCAGCCTGAGCAGGGAGCTTGTGTTCTGCTCTGCTCAGCTCTCACCATCCTGGCGGGAGGAGGGAGGGCAGTTGGAGGTGTTCAGCCCTTTCTCACAGTGAAGTCAGTGAAGGAGCCTTCTGCAAACTATAAACAAGAAGAAGCCCACTGGACCCTGTGCTGGGTGCACGAGGACCCCACAGCCACTCCCCACGGCACTCTGTGCAGCGGCTGCAGCCTTCATTCTGACTCAGGCACCTGCCCTTTCCTCCGTGACCTCAGCCAGAGGCTCCGGCTCCTGTAAAGGAGCCCCTCACCCGTCACCTGCTCCCTGCTTTCTCCAAGCTGGCCCACACAACCCAAGCAAAAAAGCAGTCTCTTGTCTCTGCCTCAGCCCTTAACAAGAAAAATCAATAGCAATCTGGCCCCAGGCCAGCCTCGCGTCATACGGGAGAAGCCAGGCTTTGCCATCTCACAGCTGAAGCTGGGGCCCTGGAGCCTCCAGACAGAAGGAAGCACAAATCCTCTTTCTAGGACGAACTTGGCACAACCTGATCCACTTGGGGATCTGCTCTGTCCTCAGGTCCCCAACCACACCACATCCGGCCCACAGGATCTCTGAGCCATGTTTACCTGTCATAGCAGTGACGTAGCTGGAGCCCCAGGCCTGGGGGTACCTGGAAAGGGGGTGCAGGGTGGGCCTATGTGCACATGAGCTCAGAGGGTTCTTGGAGAGGACCCACCTAAGGGAAAACAGAGCTGGGTGCCTTAGGCTTGGCCCAGTAACAGAGCTTGGATTAAGTGGAGGCGTAGACCAGGAGGTCTGTTCTTAGGTTTTATATTACAGCCTGGGCTAGGGTGGGAAAGAGGAGGGGGAAAGACTGTAGGGGAAGAAGCCAGCGCTTTATTAAAACTCTGTAAGGTCTTTCTGATTGGGAATCATTTTGAAGCCTCCTCTCCCACACTCACTTCCCTCAGGAAGACACAAATTAATAACAACACTGAGTGTTCGTGTCGTGCCAGGCATTGCACTAAGAATTAGGTTCTGTTTTCTCATCGAACTTTTTTACTACTACAACCGTATGAAATATCGTAGTACCTATTTCATTAATTATGGACGAAGAAACCAAGGCACGGAGTATTGCTCAGATAGGAACAAGGCCAAAGCAGGGTTTGAACCTTGGCCACCAGACCACAGCCTCTGCTCTTACCTCTGGGCCACACCAACCTGGTCAGTGTGGGCTCAGGGGGCAGGAGAGTGGGGTCAGAATGCGCTAACAGATCAGCACGTGGTTGGCTTGGTGGTTCATCAGTGGCATGCTGCCTAAGCCACACTGGATTCACATGGAAGACTGTGGGTTCAGTTTCCTGGCTGACCTGTGGACACCACACATGTGCATCCACGATCCTGGCTGACTGGGCGGGCTTGGGGTGTGTAGGCGGTTTTAGCATGGGATCCTATGGGAAGTATTTGTCTTTTTCTTGCTCTGTTTCTCCCTCTTAGTAAAGAAAAAATAAACTTAGGGATAAAAAGAATGATCAGGACAAGATGGTAATGCCTATCTTCCATTCCTCTTGTGGAGTATCAGACTTGGGTTCCAGCAAGGGGTGGGAGGAAACAGCTCCCGAGTTTCTCTAGTTTGAAACCTGATCAGCTGTAGTAGTTCCAATAGCGTCTCCCTAAATTTGCATCCACCTGGACCTCAGAATGTGACCTTATTTGGAAATAGCATCTGTGCAGATGTAACCAGTTAACAAGAGGCCGGTCATGCTCCCCGCACAGTCCGTGCTCGCACTGCATACGCCCCAGCCCTTCCTCAAAGGCTTCTCTCTTTTTGATGTCCAGAGGGTGTGTGTACTCACCAGAGAGAAATATCAACCCCCAAGGGGCATGGTCACACCACAATCCCTTCACGACTTCTCCTCTCGGGATTTTGGGTGCACAAATACACATCCCCAGCATGTTTTTCGGGCTCCCAGGTCCCAGACTCAAACCATATAGTTGGCCATGTGGAGTCTAGTCTCCCTAACTACCATGCCACCAGCTGGCCTGGCTTAAGACACATATTTTACATTTTTAAAAGTTTCTTTCTTTCTTTCTTCCATGGCAAGAAAGCATGGAAGTGTGAGCATGGACTGTGCGGTACAGAGAGAGAAAGGTAGAGCACCACCACCATGTCCTGATACCATGATCCACCCCCAATCTGTCAGCCCTAGCTCATGGGCACAGGCACACCTGGTGTATTCGGGGAGGTCCCCAGATTTGAACTGAGCAGCTTTCCATGTGGATCAGCCTCACAAAGCACTGTGATTTATTACTGGACCACTGTTTGATCCTCCCACCCAGATGGCTTTTATAAATACTTATTAGAGAAAGAATCTATAAGAAGCTAAGGTCCTACCTTATGAATGAGGGGAAGGGCTGGCAAAGCCCTGGTAGATGTCACTGGGGCTGGTCTTGTAACCTAAGGCAGACAGGACCATCAGAGATGCTTAGCAGTGGCATTTCACAGAAGTTAAAGATGACGATCATTCTCTATCTGTTGATGACGATGGGCATGGTACTTTCTTTGACTGAACTAACATAGAGTATTCAAGCTGAGAAAATTCACATTCAATGTTGTAAAGATATAATACAAGATGATGATCATTTTAAAAAAAGTGTTTAGTGAACATAAACATCATAGTTTCCAATGGGCCAGCCCCTGCAGGTAAGAAAGTGATATTAATCTTTATGCATTTGATTCTCCCAGCATCCCTATGTGACAGATATTCTTAGGGGAGAAGGGATCCTATGATTAACTGACAGGCTTAGCACATTAATTTTAAGAACATACATATCAAAACCAGATAGAACTGAATTTGAATTCTTTTTTTTTTCCCTTTATATATAGAGAGATTTTTGCTATAGGGTGTGTATGCTTGCCAGAGAGACAGAGAAACAGAAGTGAGAAATCACCCCCAGGGGGATGGTCACTTCTCCATTCTCCTCTCAGGATTTTGAGTGCACACATACACACACGCATGAACGCCCAGTGTACGTTTTTTTTTTTTTTTGGT